GGAGGAGATGGATTGTTTAAGTTTAGACTTTGGAGTTAGAGATATTAATATTTGTTTACTTGTATTTGAATATTAGCCTAGGTTGGTTTGGGAAGTCCGGGGGGTGGGGGGATGGGTTATAACATTGTGTAATATCTGTGATGTATTTCTTTTTTTTTTATGATAAAAACAGTATGCATTTCTTTCTATATTTGCTCCTGACATACACATGTTTAGACATACTTTCCAGAATTGCAAATTCATTACATGATTTGAAATATTAGAAATTCCAGCATTCTGATTGAGATATAGAGAGTATTTACCTACAGGTTAAGAATTGCATTAGGATTTAGGAAGCATGCAAGGGGCTGCACTTTGAAAAGTAGCAAGACTTTGATAAAAAAAAAGAAACTGAATTTATTTTACATGCATTTATGTACAGTTATTTATCCAGGGAGGGATTCTTTTTTCCAAAAAGGCAATGTACAACACCAAGGAAAACATACTAATAGATGAGCTTGCTGTCTGTGACAGTGATCACCAGGCAGCAAGAGAAATGTCAAGAGAGGAAGCAATGGGAAAGAAAGAAAGACGGAGTAACAGGGCAGAAACCAGTATACAGTTTGCCATGTTCACATAATACTGAAATTCAAAGTGAAATCATAATCAATACGTTCCATGAAATCTATTGAAATTACAGCCCATCTTATGTAACATTCTCTCCTTGTTCCTGCCACAAATGAGACTAGCTTCATCTCTGTTAATGTTTCAAAAGTCCCTCAAAATCTGGCTATGTCATCAGGCTTGGGGGGGGGGGGAATCCGAAGGGATTCAGTGAAATCTTGAAGTGGTTCCATCACCACAGTAAACATTTATTCTCTCTCATACCTTGCATTTTTTATTTTTACATTTTTATGAATAACTGTTGTTATATATTTATTGTTTTAATTGTATGTCATACCTAGAGTCACTTTTTGCAAGATGGATGCCATATAAATTTGATAAATAAGTAATAAGTAGATAACCATTTAATTGGGGGGGGGGAAATCCAGAGCCTTCTTTTAAGAAAGCAGGCTTAATCTTGCATATACACTTGTGAATGTTTTCCTAAATTTCAGATATCGTTCCAGAGCCATTGTTGAAAATAACTCTTTATTCTATGTGATTATAAAGGAATTGTAGACAAACTGGAATGTTGGCTATTCCTATTTGTTAATGTGCTGTTAAAGAGAAAGAGATCAAGAAGGGTTTGCAATTGAGCCAGTTACTATGAACTTAGTAACTACATTTATGGTCCATTCCATAAATATGTTATTCTGTCATTTAACTAGGAAAAAAACCTTTCCTTTCCATAACTGCCTTATAAGTCAAAACATTTCAAAATGAGGACCAGCAGTAAAATAATATTATGCTTTCTTTCATGTTTATATTATCTAAGCAAATTTACTTTAAAAATGGGTATAAATACAAATACACAATGGTTATACACTCACTCATACTGATGTGTTCACACAAAATTCCACCCCCAGCCAAGGCAGTTCACTGGATAAATATTTGTTAGACTTTACAATTGTGGAATAATAACTTTTACTTTGACAGAAATGCAAAATTATAAAACGCAGAAGATTTCTTTGGGATTAAAATAGAGGAAAGGGAAAAGGAGAAAAGAATGAGAAGGAATACATTTATGTTTACATTATTTAAGCTAAACTGCAACACACTAAATTATCTTCCTTCCTTCCTTCCTTCCTTCCTTCCTTCCTTTCTTCCTTCCTTCCTTCCTTCCTTCCTTCCTTCCTTCCTTCCTTCCTTCCCTTTCTTCTTAGAATAATTCTTATATCACTAAACATACATTATATTATACATTATATGTGTATCCAAGTCACACATATAATAAAATCAATTATTTACTTTAGATACATGTGTTAAATTGTAATAAAAATAAATCAATCTTAAGAACAAGTATTAAAAAAATACACACACAATCAAGTGCAAAACTGGAATGACTTCCTTTACTTAACCTACTAAAGGTGGAATAAAGTAACAAGTAATTCTTAAGATTTGGAAACCTTTATGAGTCTGTTGATACAACACAAATTATCCATAATACTCTTGTGGTTTCCCAGTGGAATTGGTTATAGGAAATGGAGACATGTTACTTACATCAATCAGGCAGAAGTCCAATATGAAGGATGACACCTCTAAATCTTATACTGTTAATTTATAGTGTTTAAATCATTCACAAACAATTTATGACAGAAATGGGGGAAAAGTTCTAAAATCAAGCAATTTAATTTGACTGGATTGAAATGTATATTTTTCAATGATTAATAACATCTATTTTTGTTAAACTTATTGCATGATGGAGACTATGCTGAAAGACTGATACATTTATTAGTGGTCCGAGTTAGTTCATTATGCTTATAAACTACAATG